GCCTCCCAGAGTGCTAGGACTACAGGCATGAGCCACCGCGCCCGGCCGCTAACGTTTCTTTATTATGATCTTTAAAAATGCTGGCAAAGACCCACACAAGTCATATCATGATCCACAGTTTTCAAATCACTGCATCAGAAGGTGAAAAACTAATGCAACATCTCTGCATGTTTTGAACACAGGCTTTTAAAAATTTGTTGGTTTTAAACAGATGAGTGACCTTCCCCAACACTGACTCACCATTCGTCACATTCCGCTCCTTCGCCCAGGCTGAGGTGAGCAGCAGAGGTGGGGGAGGTCCAGTCAGAACCCCAAGTTCCTGCGGGTCCTCACATGAAGGATGCATGGGGATACGCGCCTGCGCCTTGCCTTCTCAGCCTACGAATATTCAGGCCCTTGCTTCCCCTGCTTTCTTTTCTTTTCCATTTACTGTCACTGTTAGTCCTTAACCTCTACACACACACACACACACACACACACACACACACACACACACACACACACACACACACACGTAAAGTAAAACGAAATTCCACTTGGTGGAAAGAGAGTGCAATATGGAAGAAAGCAAAGCTAACGTGTGGATTTCAGTTACACCTGCCCTGCTTACCGCCTAGTGTCTCAGCCACCTGAACAGGTTTAAAGGCTGAAATGGCAAATAAAGCAGACATAGAAAGTATTTTCAACTGCTAATACTTTTGAGTTTTTAAACCTCTAGTCAACATTATATTCTACTCTTCCACACTCAGACTATTGGGTACTTGTGATAATTAGAGACAAATTTCATATGAAGATTGAAAAACTTACCTTTAAGGACTCCCATAAGGGAAACTGGACCAAAGAGAAAGGAATCTGAAGAAAGAAAAAAAAAAAAAATCAAATACATCAAACAAGAAAGATCAGCATTTGAACAAATGAAATAATGTTTGATCAAGTGAAATAATGTTTCTAAACAATAATTACAGGTTCATATAGTAATGTCAGAAACTGTAATTGTTACTTAGAAACATTTTTTTCATTTGAACTTTATATATAACAATGCTAATATCAAACAAACTTATAGGTATAGTATACATAATGTTTAGAAAAAGAGTTAAACTGTAGCCTGTAAATTCTCTAACTTTTTGAGCCCCAAAGATATAAAGTGATGCTGCAAAGCCCTTTTGAACGGAAAGTGAAACACATAGTCTGGCTACTGAAATGACTAAATATTCCCCCATCATAAGTAATAAAGGCCTTAAAGACTCAATCAATACGTTTCCCTTAAGG